GCACCTACTCCTCATCTAAACGTGCTCGGCACCGGAGACAAGCCCGCCACTCATACTTGCACATGCTCGTGTTCTGTGTGAAACTGTTTCATGACAAAATGACCATCACCTGGGAAATAGTTTGCTAGTGGACACATACCATACTGATTAGTATAACTGATACATTTTTTTCTGTCTTCTTGAATCCCACTGTGCATATGGTTCATGTTCTGTCACTACTATAATTTAGGAAAATTATAATGGCCTGTTAAATTTGGAAACAGCTATAATACAATATAGTGCTATTAAGACTTCTAAACACTATTGCTGCTTCATCAGTGTTAATATGTGCAACACTAGAAAAGGGCAGAATGGCCCAGGTTTCTCTGTAAATCACCTCCTTCGAGTGGCATATAAGGCCTCCTTTTATCTGACCCCTGCCTATCAGGGGCCAGATCTCTCTCACCACCTCAATGCAGCCTCCCCCAATTCCTTTCCCCTCTTTCTGCACCCAGTTGGTCAGCTGTCTCTCCTTTTCCTACCATTCCCCATGGTCACCTTCAACAGACTGGGCAATGGCTGGTATTCTAGCCATGCTTCCTAATCTTGCTTCTGCAGACCACGGATCACAACCTTCGCCCCCAGCCAGGTGGAGTACCCTGCACAAGGTACCACACACCCTCAATGCCACCTATTGACAGCCTCCCAACCTGGAGCTGCTAGCTCCCCGAGACCAGGGCCCCTGCAGTAGCACCTTCACTCCTAAACCCCATTCCTCATCAAACCAACTGCTGGGTCCCAGGCCCCATCACTGTCCGAGCCGTGAGCCCCTGCAGGCCCAGCTCACCTCCAGCAGCTGGCCTGGCACAGGCACTGCACAGGCAGAGCTCAGTCTGATGACAGAACAGGCACCAATTCCTTGGGGAAAATGACTACGGCTGACATTTCATTGTTTCTAAAATACAATGATCTGAAACACGAGGAAACGCAGACTTCCCAAGCCAAACAAAACAGCCTCGCACCAGAGGTTTTCAGTTACTCTGGTCAAAATTCAGGAGATTCCGCCAAACTCCCGCCTGAACCACGGCTGTCCTCTGCCGTGGGTTTGACTGCGTGTCCGAGGCACACCCGGCCCCGACCCGGCGGCTCCCACATCCGGGCTCCCAGGCAAGAACAGCATGCCCGTGTTGCGAACACTCTCCGGCTGGACAAGGGCGGGCGGCCTGCCATCTCCGGCAGGGCCATGGCCACCCTCCGTCTCCTCAGTCTCTGGGCAGCAGGAATCCAGTTGCAGCTGCACATTCTATAGGGCCCATTCCATCTCTTTTCCCCACATTAAAAAAATTGTGGCGGAATGTACACGATGTAAAAGTTGGCACTGAAGCCATTTTCAAGTGTGCAGCTCAGCGGCACTGAGTGAGCGCGGAACCTGTCACCTCCCACACCGACACTGCAGGGCCACCGCTCTCCCGCCCCCGGAGCCGTCTCCATGACGCTGACCTCCCTACGGACCTGGCGTGGTGCGAATCGCACGCGGTGTCTGTCCTTTTGGGTCTGGATCATTTCCTTGAGACTGCTGACTTAAGGGACACCCCCCCCAATTTTGGCCATTAAAACTCAAACATCCCAACCTGTTCTCAGCCAAGGGAACAGCCCTCTGTGCAGGGAAGGGTCCTCCTATACTCCCGAGTGGGTGGCACCAGGGAGAGGCAGAGTCGGGCTCTCAGGGACGTCTCTGCCCACAGTGACACCGAGTGTCTGCATGCTGTCCCGGGGCGGGCTGCCTATGCCATCACCTCAGCTTGGGTAACAGCTGCAAGTCACTTGTCAACCAGACCCTCTGTCACCTGCTGGCCCCCAGAGCCACTGCTCACACTTCTGTCACCTGCCCATTTTCTAGGGGTTTGAAGACAAGGCCTCCAGCCTTTCTGAACCATCAATTCTTTTTAATCCTCACCCGAGGACATTTTTCCATTTTTTGTTCAGATAGAGTGGGAGGGAGAGAGAGAGAAAGAAACATCATTGTGAAAGGGACACATCGAGTGGCTGCCACCTGCACGACCCAACCAGGGCTGGGGACAAATTGCAACCGAGGCATGCACCCTTAGCAGGAACCGAACCCGGGTCTCTCTGGACTGCAGGCTGGTGCTCCAACCGCTGAGTCAAACTGGCCGGTCTGAACCTTCAATTCTTCAGGCCAACGTGGCCGCCTCATTATCTGCAATATCCCTTAAACGACCAGCTTCCTCCTCCAGCCACCATGTGCACCCTGCAAACCAGGCTGCTCACAACTCAGCAGAAGCAGAGTCCAGGCCGCGCCGGCCCTGCCACCAGCCCTGGGAGAACCTGGGGGCACTCACCCCTCATCTCTGGGCTCGCCGCCTGCACCATGAGGCCCAGACACCTGCGGCAGCAGAGTGGCCATGTGCCCAGGTGAAACAGGGCAGTTGTGCCCTGGAAGTCCTCCTGCACAGAGGACACAGGAGAGGAAGCTGGGCCGGCCCTTTCCGAGCGGGAAGGCCCACCGAGGACGCCCCCTGCAGAGGCGGGGCCACAGGTTCACCGACCCTCTTCGATGTCCACCACAGTGAGGACGGCAGGTGTGCTTGGACGGCAGGAGTCTTAGAATAAGGGACACCCCCAGGCAAGGGGGCTCCAGCCGTGTCACCGAGCTTCGCCCCCTGACGGCAAGCTCCACATCAGATGCAGCAGAGAAAAGGAACTGAGTTCACCACACACCTGGTTAGCAACACCTGTGCACACCTGGGGCCGCTGTCCATGTGCTCAGTTGGGATGAGAGTCCCTTTACGCACACACCTATACACGCACGTGGGCGGCCGGGATGTGTTTCCACTCCGGTTACAGAACCACCTCTATTTCTGAACTCTCGCCACCGACGTGTGTCCACGGGCATGCCCTGTGGATCTCAACCACTCAGCTAGGAGTTGGTTGCCCAAGGAGGCAGGTGGCTTCGGAATTGCTGGGGGGGCTGGGCTGTCACCCTGAACTGCTAGGAGGCTGAGGGCTGTATGGATGACTGAGTGCCAGGCTGCCGGCCGGGCACGGCCCCCTCGCTCCTGCCTCGCCAGCCCCCCGCCAGTTGCAGGCGGTGGAGAAGCGGCTGCACGCAGGGCCCGGACCCTCCAGCGCCAAGGCAGGGTCCCCACAGGAGGAAGAGGTGAACGTCAAGTCCCACTGGATCATGTCCCCAGAACCATGATCTCATTAGGCTCCCGTGGAAAATGGAAAAGTCTGACCCTTTTTTTTTTTTTTTATCATCCTCACCCGAGGACATTTTTCCATTTTTTGTTCAGGCAGAGTGGGAGGGAGAGAGAAGGAGAGAGAGAGAGAGAGAGAGAGAGAGAGAAACATCGACATGAAAGAGACACATCGAGTGGCTGCCTCCCGCCGGGGGACAAACTGCAACCGAGGTACATGCCCTTAGTGGGAACCGAACCCGGGTCTCTCCGGACCGCAGGCCAACGCTCTAACCGCTGAACCAAACCGGCCAGGGCAGTCTGACCCTTTTTTAACAGACAGACTCAAAATGAACATAGGCTTCACCCCATCCTGACAGACAGATTCGCTCTGACGCTCCCCATAAACAGCCCGCGGCACCCCGCTCGTCCTGGGCCGCCTGGGCAGTCTCGACCTGCACCAGGCAGGAGGCACCAGGATTCTCTGCGAACCCAGCTCGTCAGACCGAGAGGCAGCAAGACATCCTTTATTCTTTATATGATTTTCCTTTCCCTGGAGGCTACTTCCGGAACCAAGAAGAAAACAATGAGCGTGTGTGGCCAGGGCGCCCACACTCCTCCTTCCCGGGAAAGGCCGTGTGGGAACAGACCTTGCCAGCAGGCGACAAGCCCAGGAGGGGCTGGCAGGCTGTTCCCAGCGTTTCCTTTAAGACTGACCCACCTCCCACCTGACTCTCCTCTGAGACACCACATTCACCCGCTGCATGGGCACACGTTAGAGGCTGGCACCTCAGCCGTGCGCACGGCTGGTGCTGGTCTGGAGTCCCCGGGCAGCCAGCCCCTCCTCGGCCCTCAGACCGTGCGGGGCGGACGGGGGTGAAGCCATGGCTCTGTGGGAGGCGGCGGAGCACACTGCTGAGGCCACCGGGGCAGAGTGTCCACCTCACCCTCTGCTTCGGACACCAAACATTTTATATGTTTGGAAAAAGGAACATTCCTAAAACAACTCAAATAAGTGGATTTTACAAATATTTTACCAAGAACATGTGAAATCCTAGAATGTAACTATGCTTTCAAATAACTTGGTCCCTTACTCAAATCTCTTTTAAGTTGGGAAATTACAGGCTTTTGTTTTAATCCTCACCCGAGGATATTTTCCCATATACTTTCAGACAGAGTGGGAGAGAGAAAGAAACATCGATGAGAGAGACACAGCGATTGGTGGCCTCTCACACAACCCTGACCGGGACCAGGGACCGAACCACAGCCGAGGCACGTGCCCTCGACCAGAACCGAACCCACAACTCTTTGATCCGCAGGGCGCCGTTCTAACTGCTGAGCCAAACCGGCCAGGGCGGGACAGTCCCGATCTTTAAACGTCCTTAGACGACGGGACTGGTGCTCGCCCATGCAACCTGCAAGGGACGCGGTGCCTGAGCACAGCTGTGACGCTGACCCAAGTGCAGCAGGGACCCCAGGACGCGGAGAACACCCGTCCTTCAGCCAGTGTCAGTCCCGATAAACTCTGGCTGAAGGGGACAAAGGGTCAGAATGAGGTCGTTCAGCCTCTCCCACCGCCAGGTGTCATCCAGGGCGCACCTCCTAACTATCAGTGGCTGGTCACAGGCCCACTGGAACTGACCAGTGCCAACTGCACTCGCCCAAACCCCCAAACCCGATTCCACCTCAACATCGATGACCGTTCTTCTCCCCCAACTTGGTCTCAAACAGGAGGAGAAGCGGCCAGAGTAGGCTGAAGGGAGAGAAGGCAGGATCGGGCCCAGCTCCCAAGCACACTTCCGGCCTCGGGCAGGCAGCACTCACCGATCTGCAGCAGGATCGGTGTGACCAGCGCCGTCTCCATGGCGTAGCAGAACTCCCTGCCGAACATCACGGCCCCGTGCATGACCCACAGGCGCACGGGGATGCGGTCGATGGAGCCTTCGCTGACGGTCTCGTCGCGCGGCTCGAGGTCGGTGCTGGGGGGCTTCTGCAGCTCGGGCAGGGGCACCGGCAGCTCCTGGACTTGCACAGACTCCGCGTCGGCGTTCTGCGGGGCCATTCTCATCACCACCAGAGATATGGATGTATTTACTTACTCTATCTATATAAATAACACTATCATATATCTTTAAGGATAAATTAAGACGTCTTCTCTTTCTGCTTCCGTTGCGTTCCCCGGCAAGTAATACTTATATTCCTCTTTGCACAACTTCTCACAATCGGATGCGGCTCCCAGCAAAACACAATGATATTTGGTTGGGTTTTAAGCACATGGCTTGTTGGATTACTGTGAGTTAGGGTTAAAAATCCATAATGACCACTCAGTTAGCACCAGCTTCATCGTTCTGACTGAGGAGGTGCTGGCGTGATTTCTCTGGCTGCAGAGGGGCAGGGTGATGACGCGGGAAGGGGCTCCACCGGTGCTCCCCATCGAGCGAGTACGGATCTGCAAAAGAGGGCAAGACCCCAGCAGTCAGCAGGGCCACCCCAGGTACCAAGCCATGGTCACCTAGGAGATCCAGACCTCGGAGCACCTCAGTTCGCTGGTGCTTATTCTAAGTCATCTGTGCAAAAGAAAAACAAACTCTAATTTCTATAGAAACATCTTCTTATATGGAATATAATCCTGGGGGAGGATAAAGACGGGGTGACCGAGGGAAGCTGGACCAGAGGAAATGAACAGACAGAAGGAGCTCAGCCTCCTCTGCGCAGTAACAGTCACCGGCTCCGGGGACTGCAGTGTGGGAACCCTGCACACAGAGGCATCGGCCTGTGAATGTCATGGTGCGACCAGGGGAAGAGGGGCTGGGGGTGGGGGAAGACTGACAGAGGAAACGCAATGCTACTAGCAGAGGGGCAGAGGACGATGCACTGATGTCTGGAGACACTGTGGCAGTCACAGCTTTGCTGGGGGTCTGCTGCACCTGTGGGTTGGGACAGGGGTGCTGCTCAGACTCTTAGTGACAGGCCGCCTCACACAGAGAATGACCAGCCCTAGTGCCGACTGTGTCTGGGTAAACAAACTCTGTTCCAAGGTTATTAAGTAGGAAAAGTGTTCTCTTTAAAAATGCGGAAACCTTTGATTTTGACTCAATCAACTAGACCAAGATTGCAAACTCAACTTCACTACTGCTTTGTTTCACTGAACCAGCCTCACTGAAGCCAGGAGAGCGCGACGCAGGGTGGCGGCTTCGGGAAGGGAGAAAGGTCCACAGGGGGTGGCGTTTCGTGGTGGCCTATTTTCCAAAAGCGGGCAGAGCAGGCATCGCTGAGGCACTGAGCCCCCCGCACTTGTTCAGGGGCTGGGCTCTGGCCACGGGCCTCAGCGACATCGCTGACAGGCCCCAGGACTCAGCCAGGTGCTCAGCCAGGGCTGCTTGGCCTGGAAAGCCCAGGGGCCGAGGACTGAGCTGGGCGAGGGCACATGCGGACTGGCCACGGGCCAGGGAAGCACAGGTAACTACACTTGAGTGCTGGCGTTTCCCACGAGTGTCTGAAAACAGTCCGACCTCAGCCTTGGGGACACAAGATGAAAGGAGGGAGACGGGCAGCCGGACGGTCCACGCGCCATGCACATCGAGGCTGGAGTGTCCGCTCATCTGTCGCCCCCCCCACCCAGCCAGGGCTGGGCAGCGCCCCGGCAGCTGGTCAGAGCCGCCTCTCGTCAGCAGGGCTGTCACACCCGGTCCTGCTGAGTCAGTCTGCCGGCCGGCTGCATGTCTAGATGTGCACACAGGTCCCGCTGGAGCCGTCCACACATGTGGTCACTGCCAGGAGCTGGGACACACGTCGAGACAGGGCTGTGGTCTACTGCGGGACGCAGTCCGCGGTCTCGTCCTGTCCTGGTTCTATCTGGGGTGGGGAAGGGGAGGATCCCCTGCAGGGAGGACGCCTGCCATCTGCATGCTGCGTGCTCAGGCTCCACCTGCCCACCTCTCACCCCCTCGAGCCACATGAGTCCCTCAAGTCTCTTCTCAAGGCCCAGCCCTCCCCATAGAACTGCCAACCACCCTCCTTTGCCGCCAAAGGCTCGCACAGCTGCTGTCCTTGGGGGCACGTCCTGCCCAGACCGATTAGAAGCTCCCGGGAGACCCCATCAACCAGCCCCTCTGTTCTCACATCCCCACTGCCTGGCCACACGGAGGAGCACAGGAGGGTCACTGTAAGAATGAATGAATGCGGACAGCCAGCTAACCCAGCAAACCAGTGAGACGTACTCGGGCTGTCTGCCCGGGAAGCTGCCCCCACCCTGCCCGCTCTCTTAAAGAGAGGCACACCCAGCCCTGCCGGTTTGGCTCAGTGGTTGGAGCGTTGGCCTGCGGTCCAGAGAGTCCCAGGTTCGGTTCCCGCTAAGGGCACGTACCAAAAAAAGCCCAGAGAGGCACGCCCAGAGGCTCTCAGGCAGTGGCATGAGCACGGGGTGGGTTACCTGTTAGCCAAGGCGTCTAGGCATTAACACAGCCGGCTCCTCCGTCAAGCAGTGCGGATGCAGCAGCCCAGGCAACGTCACTGTCACCTGCATTGACGGAAATGACAAACTGTCAGCACCCTGTCAGTAGCAGTTACTAAGTGCTCAGCCCTGTGAACTCACCCCGCAGTACCCTCGAGTGGGCACGGGGACACCACACCAGTCCTCACACTGCCGAGAGCAGGCCCGGCCGTCAGGGCGCTGAGGCCCCCTCCAAACAGTCCTGCCAGCGAGGCTGAGCTGCCGCGACCCCGGGCCTCCTCGGAGACGCGCACTGACGTGATGGCCCGTTTCAGGTCGGCCCGAGGGTCACGCCCAGCTGCTCATCAGCAGGCGTCGCCACGGTGCCCACATGCTCCTTCTCTGAGAAGCCCCGGGATTCATGACATTTCAAGGATGATGCAAAACCATTTAGAGACCAAGTTGAAGTATTGACACCTAGAAATAAGGTCATATCACCACCCAGGAGTGAGTGGCTGCCCCTAAAGACCTAGGTCGGGGGCTGGCCCAGCTGGCACTTCCAGAAAAGCCTCCGTGGAAGGACAGCTAATAGGTGGCACCCCACAGCCGGTGCCATCGTCCTGACACAGGGGAAGCACAGGCCAAGTTCCACAGGGCTACACGCAGACTGCGCAACGGTCCAGCAGCCGTCAGTTCCCAGAGGAGGTCTCGAGGGTACGCCTTCGGTCCTGGGCCACCCTCTCCCTGGGGCCCACAGCTGTCTCACGTGACTTCTCTCCAAGTCCGTCCCCAGCACTCTGAGGTTTCTCCTTCACCGCATGTGAATTTGCACCCGAACTTGGGTCTGCTCCATGTTCCACTGCTGTGGTGCCACCGCCCACATCCCCCGCCAGCGCGGAGGGACAGTGCGAGCCTGCAGCCCGCCCGTGGGCCCTCCGCCGCTGCCCGGCCTCCCTCCCCGTTTCTTCCACAGGCTCATTCGTGCGCTGCGGCCACAGGAGCTTTCAGAGCTGGGCGAGCTGAGGGACAGCTGTTGTATTTCTATTGCGATCCCATTAACGCGACGTCAGCCGAGGGCGGGCCGCCGTCCCTAGGCTGACCCCGAGGGGGCTGCCCTCCGCGCCCGGCGTGGCCCAGGAGCCCCCAAAGCACTCCCACGGCTGCACCCGTCCCCTGAGTTTCTTCCTAAGAGCTGATCTTTCTGGTGGTTGCAGGGATGAAAGGGGAAGAGAGTCTCCCTCCCGTGCATCTCCAGCGGGCAGGTTCGCACCACGACGGCTAGCAAGTGGTTCCTCAGATCAAATGTACATGGAGTGAAAATGTACATTTAATCAGCTCTCACAACTTTGTATCAAGACACAAACACTTCTAACACCATGGAAAGTCCCCTGTGTCTCTTCTATTAAAATAGATCAATTAAACCCTGCCGGTGTGGCTCAGCGGTTGAACATCGACCCTGCACCAAGAGGTCATTGGTTCGATTCTGGTCAGGGCACAGGCCCAGGTTGTGGGCCCGATCCCCAGTGGGGGGCATGCAGGAGGCGGCCAGTCGATGTTCTCTCTCATTGATGTTTCTATCTCTCCCTCTTCCTTCTTCTCTCTCTAAAACCAATAAAGAAAAAAAAAAAAAGATCAATTAAGGCTATTGATCTATTTTAATTTAATAATCTAACTCTTTGATAACCTAATTCTTTAATTGTATGAATGCAAACAACTCTATTAACCATCACCAAAATATGACTGGTGCCCAACTCAGCTTCCGAGGATTGTGTTCTACACTCAGAGGTTCACTGTTGGTGACTCGGGGTCCTGTCCCACGGCACTTGCTCAGGGGCACAGAACAAGGACCGTGTGGCACCTGCCTGCCCTGTCCTGGCCACAGGACTTGGAGATGGAGTGTCACCGCCCTCCATTCACAGCACCCAGGCCCCTTCCCAAGGCCTTCTCGCCCGGGACACGTGGGAGGGAGGAGAGCAGCTCTAGGAAGAAAGGAAGGAGCCGCACGGGTGGGACCGCAGGGCTGCTCTCCCATTAGCAGGTGCCTGGTGCCAGCTGTCGCCGTGCTGACGGGACAGTCGGGGACCATGACTAGGATGACTGTTCTGAGAATGCTGTCCACGCAGAGATCTCCTCTGGCGACTTGCAAGGAGACAACTGTCGCCTGGAGCACTGCAATGCTCTCCCCTGCAGTGCCCCTGATGCCCAGGCGGGGGCAGAACAGCACAGCAGGCGCCTCGGAGAGCAGCCTGCCCTTCCCCAAGGCAGGCGACTCTGGATCCGGCCGTCCCAAGGCTGCTCTGCCCAGGGCGCTCCGCTCAGGGCCAGGGAACCCCGAGGACGGGCTCCCCGAGGACGGGCTCCCCAGCACAGGCACCTCCCGCCTGTCGAGCGCTGGGCCACAGCAACGTGCTTGTGATGTGCAGATGCACTTAGACAAGTGAAACCACAATTGTTCCAATCAACAACTTCCTCTATTGTCCTGGTTCTAATTTAAGGGTGATGCCAAAACACGTGACTTCCTACAATTTGCTATGTGGAGAAGCTGGCTGGACACGGAAAGTCATCCACAGGTGGACGCAGAGCCACTTGCCAGGCACCCACAGGTCAGGCCCAGTCCGAGACTCTGCCTGAAAGTCACAGTGCACACCAGTGTTGTGGGGACAACACCCCTGAGGATGGTCAGAGCCCGGCACGGGGATGCGAGGCCCGTGCTCACGGTGCAGGTGCGCGGCAGCAGCTGTCGGTTCTGCACACCCACCACTTCAATCAGCCCCCACAGGTTTCTAAAATGGCATCAACTGTTCACTAGTAAGGATATTAACTATTAAGTCTGTCTAACACTTGCTGGTACCAACCTCTCCACACACTCTCTCCAGATACCTCCAGCAAAGACAACTAACTGTGCACGACATAGAAGCCAGGCAGGGCACAGACACGCAGCAGCACGTAACCAAGACAACCAGCTTCTGGACCAAAAGTATAAAACAGGGCCTAAGCCCTGACCAGTTTGGCAACTAGTATTTGATCCAGTTTGACGGAGATGTGCTTCCCGATCAATCGGAAGCTCGTTTGGGGGGAAACGACACAGAAACACAGACTGGCCCAAGGAAACACTGCCGCACTCCCCTTCTGCAGAGCACGGGAAGGGCACTCATGCCTCTTTCTACCTGTGCTTCAGGCGGTGGCTCCTTGGTCTGTACCACTGGCTGAGTAGGAGGGTGTTTTGTTTTTTAATTAAAGATCAACGGGTCTGGCCCTGGCCGGTTTGGCTCAGCGGTTAGAGCGTCGGCCTACGGTCCGGAGAGACCCGGGTTCGGTTCCCGCTAAGGGCACGTACCTCGGTTGCAGTTTGTCCCCGGCCTTGGTTGGTCGTGCGGGTGGCAGCCACTCGATGTGTCCCTTCACGTCGATGTTTTTCTCTCTCTCTCTCTCCCTTCCTCTCTCTCTCTCTCTCCCTTCCTCTCTCTCCCACTCTATCTGTACAAAAAATGGAAAAATATCCTCGGGTGAGGATAAAAAAAAAAAAAAATCAACGGGTCTGGACAGCAGAGCCTCGGGTGCGGGGACCACAATCCCAGGGAGCTCCGTGCTGCTGCCTCTGGGACCAAGAAGGCCAGGAGACTGGCCGCCCTGCTCCAGGACGCCTGGGCCGAGGGCCGGAGGCCTCCTTCACCAAGGGGCCTCGCTGTGCTTCTGCTGCCCTCAGCCCCACACCACGTACGTTGCCGTGATTGGCCACCCAGCGCCCTTCTGAGATGATGGGAATGTGCCCGACGTGCCCGGCCACCCCCAGGACCCCCAGGACCCCCAGGGCCAAAGCACAGAGTGGCGGAAGAAACTGTGAACACCTCCACTGACAGGAGACGTCCCCTTCCCTGCGGCCCCCAATAAAAATGTGAAAACCAAAAAAAGAACGGGTTTCTCTACTCCTCTTCAATGTTTCTAGCCCCGACTGCTAGTTGAAGCCACTTGAGTGAGAATGAAGCTTTGGCTGCCATGGCAACAAGCAGCCTTCACGCTGCGCAGCTCCTGGAACCCCGGCCAGCGGGGACTGAGCGGCGGGCCAGCCCGAAATGCCAAGGAGCCACCACTGCAGCGGTTCCGGACCGACTGCTGTAGCTCCAGACGTCTAACTACTCCATCTAGGCCTCAGGCCAGCTACCAATAAACTCGGTCTCCGTCACTCGTGACGTGGACAGGAGGCAGGTTGCAAGCTGCCCAAGGACACTTAAAGCCACCAAATGATATTAAAATATAAAAATTCCTCACGTTACATACATATAATCAAGACCTGACCTCAAAGACAGGGCGTAATTAAGGAATACCACTAAAGGCTGCCAAGATGCAATGAAGCCTCCTGACGGTATTTTCACATCAAATCAAATCAAAGCAGGTTCCAGACTCTCGGCAAGAAGGACACGAAGTGAAACTGGAAGCCACGGGCTGACGACATGAATTATCTGAATTATGGTCCACGTGTCAGGTAAACGTGTGTCAGTGTTTTCAAAGCGGGGAAGTATGGAACACACTTGAAAACTGCCACAATCAAAACTGGTGTTTTAAAAAGGTAAATTTTTGATGGATGAAGAGAACTTGCATCTGGCTTTGGCCTGGGGTTAAATTTATTCTTACCTTTTTTTAAAACATTTTTTTTTTATTGATTTTAGAGAGACAGGAAGGGAGAGGGAGGGTGAGAGAGATGGAAACAGCGATGAGAGGACATCGACTGGCCTTCTCCCGCACGCCCCACGCTGGGGATCGGGCCCACAACCTGGGCACGTGCCCTGACCGGGAATCACACTGGTGACCTCTGGGTGTATGATCGACGCTCAACCACTGAGCCACACCAGCTGGGTTTTCCTCCTTTCAAGGACCATGAAACAACAAGACCGCCCCTCACTGACCTCCCTGCACACCAGCGGCCCAGAGGCGGGATGAGGCAGGTCTGCACCGTTCACAAGACAGCACGGCCTTGCTGAGCCGGAAAACTGACCTTAGGGCCGCACACCTCAGCATCTCGTGACACTCCCAGTCGCTCAGACCCGTCCTGTCTCATGGCCCTCCTCCCTTCCCCAACCCTGTCTCCG